AAAAAAAAAAAACAAAGAAACGCGGTAACTGCGCGGGATAATCAGAAGATATAACAACTGTTTAATTTACAACAGATTGGCAGCTCTTTCTCTTGTGGTATTTTTAAAGCTTTGTGCATTTCATATTTCAATGATAATGTAAATTAGTGAGCATTGAATTTGGCGAAATAAATAATTAAAAGTTAAGATTAAATTATATATTAACTTTGCAAAATATGCGAAATAAAAATAATTGTACTTTGTTATGCATGATTTGGTATTTATATACATCTGATGCAAGTTTCATATGTGCGCAGTATTTTCGTCGAATATATCAACGGTCACACCGATCAGCAGCAGATATTTTCGTATGTAAAACGCATTAAAAACTTATAATAGTGTAAATATTCTAGAGTTCAAATGTGTGTCTATGTTTGTTCCTTAGTTGCATAAATGAACAGCGGCTGGCAATAATACGCAGCAAAATGCTCGACCTGTGAAAATCAACTGAATACCTTCATTCACCTGGCGGGGGTGTGTATGTGTGTGTGTGTTTGTGGGGGATGTTAAGTGAATCACAWTCACAATCACACAATTAAAAAAACGCTGCAAAAATGTACCAAAGCGCCTGCAATGCAGCCACAACTGGCTCGTGTGTGCCCGGTGCTGGCAATCAAATGGATACCGATCGTCAGGCGGCACTGATAGCCCAACARCCACCCACAGCGCCCGTGGAGCCTGACTACAGTGGCTTCGATATCGTTAAGGCCACACAGTATGGTGCGATAGCACGTGTCCGGGAGCTGGTCGAATCTGGCTGGGATGTCAATCAGCCTGACAGTGAAACGGTSACGCTMCTCCATTGGGCAGCCATTAACAATCGCAGAGATATTATACGATATTTTCTGGAAAAAGGCGCCACTGTGGAYGCCGTTGGCGGTGAACTCAACGCTACCCCGCTRCAYTGGGCCACACGGCAGGGTCACCTGGGGGCTGTTGTGCTGCTCATGGCGGCAGGTGCAGATCCGCGCATACGCGATGCAGAGGGCTGCTCCTGCATACACATTGCTGCACAATTTGCACACACTGCCTTGGTGGCCTACTTCATAGCCAAGGGAGTGGATCCGGACTTGCAGGATCGAGGCGGCATGACGGCACTCATGTGGGCTGCCTGGAAGGTGAGTGAAGATATCGATTAAATCAATTTAAAATAAAAGAAAATTGAATTTTCCCCAGCTATCAATAAAATATTAAAGGAATTCTTCCTTTTTATTATAAAAACTTTAATATTTATAAATCCCATTGATTAATTATATTATTTGTAATAACTA